CCACTTCAGTGGTTTTTAGACTGTTCTAATCCCAAAGGGAGCCTATAACCATTAGTAGTTACTTCCTGAAGGCCCTACCCACCAATGATTTGCTTTCTCTCTCTAAAATTTGACCTATTATGGACATACATAGTGGAATTATACAATATGTTACCTTTTATAAATTTAAGTGTATACTTATATAAATATATTAATTAATAAAAATAGAGGTATTGACCTATGTAATATATTTATACAGCAATACACTAAGGAAGTGGATGGATTTTGGGCCTCTGCTCAAGCCCTCCCTCAATGCAAGAACACTTTGTTCTAACAAGCTGGCATTCTATGATGCTCACTCTCGCCATCCGATCAATGAAGACAAAGCAGGTTCAAAATCAAATGTGATAAAGAAAGCTGATGGTGCCCGGCTATCAAAAGATATAGTGTCTAGGGTCTTAAAGGTCTGAAGTTAAACAAGCAGCCATCTAGCAGAGAAGCAACAAGCCCACATGGAAGAACCATACCAGCCTGTGTGATCATGAAGTACTGATAGAATACGGTAACAGGTACCAGAAACCCAACACAAACAAAAACCATATTGTTGAGAATGAGGGGAGCCAGAGCAGAGACCCCAAACCCATCTGTAGAAAATAGGATATCCCCTCACAGAAGGGTCGCAAGGAAGAGATGAGTCAACCAGAGCGCAGTACAGCACTGATGAAACATACAATTTTCCTCTGGTTCTCTGAGGCTTAGTCACCCGACACTATCATGAACCCAGTCCTACCTTTCAGCTCTGGCTAGACCGGAGCATGTACACTGGTACAGATAAAAAGCTCACAACATGGAATCCAGGTCAGATAAACCCCTCAGGAACAGAACTGGGGGCCGTGATACCAGGAGAGTAGGGGCAAGAGGGTGGGAGGAGGGGAGGAAGTGGGAACCAATCAATCACTGTGATTGACACATAATCTCCCCCACCCCCACCCAGGGGGATAAACAACAGAAACGTGGGTGAAGGGAAACTGTGGTCAGTGTAAGACATGAAAACAATAATAATTTATAAGTTATCAAGGGGTCACAAGGGGGGAGAGAGGGGGAAAAAAGAGTTGCTGATACCAAGGGCTCAAATAGAAAGTACATGCTTAGAAAATGATGATGGGAACATATGTATAAATATGCTTGAAACAACTGACATATGGAATGGCATAAGCGCTGTAAGATCCCCCAATAAAATGATTAAAAATAAATGAGGCACATTTTCTTTATTAATTCATCAGGTGACAGACATTTAGGTTGCTGTTGTGAATAAAAGCACCACGAACACCCATCTACAAGTTTCTGCTATACTTTCACGGCTGCTGTATTGCTTTGATGCTGTGGGTTATGCTGCTAGTATTTCAAGTACCAACAGGGTCATCCAAGGTAGACATATTTCAACAGAGCTTCTAGAATAAGACAAGACTAGGAAGAAGAAACTGGTGATCTACTTCAGGATGAAAGAAAAAGGATCAGCAAAAAAATCTTATAAATAGTAGCAGAACATTGTTCAATGTAGGTGCAAAATGAGGCTGTAAATACATTTACTCAAAGTAGGGACGACCTTAGTGACATGGATGGAAGAAAATCATCCAGGACCTTTCATTGAATCAAAAAGAAGAGAAGCTGTGAACATCCAGGAACTAATCTACAAATGGAATGTAGACCATAAATCACAGATGTTTGAAAGCCATCAAAGATAAAATGAAACACATAAAGATGGATACCCTAGGCATGATTGAGCTGAAATAGACCGGTGTTAGCCATTTTGAATTGGATAATCATATGGTTTACTATGCCAAGAATGACAAATTGAAGAACATATGACACATTCATTGTTAAAAAGGTCATTGCAAGATCGAACATTACAACACTGTCAATAGTAGGATAATATCCATGCACCTACAAAAAAGACCAGTTAATACAATTGTTTAAATTTATAAACCAATAATGAATGGCAAAATGATAAATTGAATAAATTCATCAAATTCTACAGTCTGAAATTGATCAAACATGCAATCAGAATGCATTACCAATTACTGGTGATTGGAAAACAAAATTAGTTGGAAGATATGGACTTGGTGAGAGAAATGAAATTGGAGGTAAGTGGTAGGACTTTCTGAAGCCAAATTTTCCTTACAAATACATTTTCTCAACAACGTAAAAGGTGAATAAGCAGACCACACCAGATAGAATACATATATAAAACAGACTACATGTGTAGAAAGATATGATGGAGAAGTTCAATACCAACAGTGAGAACAAGGCCAGTAGAATATATTGTGGAAAAGATTATCAACTGCTGGTGTGCAAGTTCAAGTTGAAGAAAATGAAAACAAGCTCATGAGAGTAAAGATATTTGAAGATCATCTCAAGAATATATTTGACTTACTGATCACTAATGGATGAAAACCACACAAGTTGTAGGGGCAGCAAGGACAGGATCAAAAGGAAAACAAGATGAATTTTTCCTGATGTGTCTGGGTAAGAAGGTGGGGGGAAGACACTGACAGGAACATATGATTCAACTGTGAGTGACTGTTAACATGGTTAATTGTGATTGCTATTCTGCTGGGTATAAAATAAACCATCTCAGAAGCAGGAAGCAGGAAATCTCACTACCAGTAAGAGCAGCGATTCTCAACCTGTGGGTCACGACCCCTTTGGGGGTTGAATGACCTTTTCACAGGGGTTGCCCAATTTATCAGTAGCAAAATTATAGTTATGAAGTAGCAACAAAAATAATTTTATAGTTAGGCGGTGGCCACCACAACATGAGGAACTGTATTAAAGGGTCACAGCATTAGGAAGGTTGAGAACCATGGAGTAAGAGAGAAGAACCAGGACTAGATAAAATCTGTCAGACCCTGAAAACCTTGTACATTGAATCTCCTTGATCCACAAGACAGTTGTAACACCAGTGGAGTAACAGAGGAGTGGAAGGGAAATGGTAGTAGCAGAACCAAGATCCACTATGCCACTTACCTAGGTAACCTACCCTCAGGAGGCCGTATAGTTCTTTCTTAATGCAGAGCTGCTGTCCCATTATATGTAAATTGACTCCTATTTGACGATTCCTGTTGTCAGTTATTAAAATGTCATTGAAAGGTTGGAGACAGAGGGGTATTTAGCCAGGAATGTGAAGTTGAGAAAGATTTTATTGAGGCAGGGAAAGAACTTCTGGGAGGGAAGGGAGAGCAGGGAAAGGGACAGGGGCATCTTGAGCCCCAGGGCGGCTTCTGTGCCCCAACAAATTAGGTGACAGAAGCTGCACCTGGTACTGGGGGCGACAGGACATATATAGGGCATGAGCTTATATGGGCCGGTAAGGGGAAGGGAGGTTCTTTGTGCTGTGGTTGCAAGTTTCGGGCCAGGTGATGTCCTGTTAGTAAATCATGTTGTTCCTAGGAAACAATGCTAGGGAGAGGGGAGCTGTGTTCTGTCCAGGGAGGTAAGCTCTGTGAAATGCTGAAGGCAGGTGCTTTGAAGTTCAGGTGCTTTGAAATTCAGCCAGGTCATTTGTCTTCTCGAGAAGCTGGTACAAGGGGTTGCCTTGGTCCGGACCCAGCCCAAAGAATCATTATTTCAGGATTGCGTTTTTAACAGTAATATAAAGCGAGATTATTTATGACTCTTCTACCCATGTCTTTTTAACTTCTACCACATTACTGGGTCGAATCAGTTAAATAGCATGTGTTTGATACTAAGATTGATCAGCTTTGTCATTCCACTGGGTATGGCAGAGTGAGCAATCTCAGAAGCAGAGCAAGTGAGAGAGAGAAATCCCATCACAATCCAGAAAGAACTGAAAAGCTGTCTTCTGAATCAGCACTAAAACCAACCAGACAGACAAAGAAGCTTGCCGTCGGGTTAATTCTGACTCAAAGAACTGCCCCACAGAGCTTTCAAGCTGAAATCTTTATGGAAGCAGAAGGTCACATCCTTCTCCCGAAGAACAGCTGGTGGGTTCAAACCAGTGACCTTTCTGTTAGCATCCAAGTGCTTAAACACCACAGAGATCCATAAACCCAGCAATTTCTGGCATATGGTAGATTCTCTGTAAAACATTGCTGGAAAAAAAAAACATAAGCAGACTTATCAAAAGACATATTGGCAAAACAACATTGAGATTCAAAACTCCTTAGTCTGGGTTCTGTCTTAAAATTCTTGTACATATTTCCCCCTTTACTGAGGCAGCTACCTAATTCTGCCATCATCCTACCCATCTGTTTCTATGGCAACTTAATTAAATCTATATCCACAAGAATAAGTCTGAATTAGTAAACATTTATTTTAAACTTCATATACATATTCCATTTCATATTCTGAAAATTGATTCAAGTCTTTAAAAGGAAACAAAAAAAGAATTCAGAAAAGCATGAAGTGTCATTGCTGGATTTATTCACCAAATTCCCTCTGGAATAGCTTACTTACATCCTGACAATAATGATTAACTGTCACTTGACCTGAAGTTTTAAACTTTAGGAGCTTTCATCACAACTTTCCTACCTGAAAATAAAATATATGGCTAATTGCCTCCATAAATAACTCCCACCATGCTAGCTACATCCTTACTATGAGACCAGAAGTTGATGGTGCCCAAAAACCACTACTGAACATTTTGACCAAAGACTCTATTGAAGAAGCTTGGTCATAAGGGGGGAAATGGAGAGTAGAATTTTTAATTCTCATGGATTCCAGACTTTATTAGGCCATGGATGATGGATGAACTACTGAAAACTATTGCCCTGAAATAAACTTCAAACCATATTCAAAAATATACCCTGAAGTCTTCTTAAAAATAAACAGTAGTTTAACTTGTATAAAATGCCTGCTTTGAGCACTAAGTTCTTTTAAGCTCTACCTGTATGGGATCAAATTAACAAAACCAATTCTATTGATGGAAACTTCAGGAGCAGTGAGTTTATGCTAATGCTGAAGGAACAACTCAGAAAAGGAGGGCAAAAATGACTGTGATCCTGATGTGGGTTCTCCTAGAAGGTCACTATCCCTGTGCTGTCCAGGTGGCTTGGAGGAGCATAGGGCTCTACCCCATGAAGTACAGTTATTTTTCACAACTTTGACAATAAAGCTGGGCTTTGCATTTATAGCTGTGTAGCCCTACAGATTCTCAGTCCTTTGCACAGTGACTGAGGAGACAAGCCATGCAGGAAATAGCCCTCTAATACCCCCCACCTGAATCTAGGTTCTGTTCTATTGTTGAGTTAAACTTCGTTTCTACTGTTTGCAGAATGCTTACAATTTCAATATACTTCTGAGGGGAAAAAGATTGGGCCTCACTCTAGTTTGGCTTGGATAGCCTTTAAAAAAAGGGGGGGTGGTAAGAAAAGTGGATGACTTGTTGTTCCCTTGTCCCTGGGTTTGTTAATACAAGGGAACAACAAGTGATTCAAATTGGTGGTGAGGTGGGTGTGGGAGGCCCGGGAGGGCACGATCAAGGGTAATATAACAAAGAGGAATTGCTGAAACCCTGGTGGGGACTGAGCATGATAGTGGGACAGGAGGAAAGTTAAGGGAAATAGAGGAAAGAGCTCAGAGGCAAAGGGCATTTATAGAGGTCTAGATAAAGACATGTACATATGCAAATATTATTTATATATGAGGATGGGGAAATAAATCTATGTGCCCACATTTATAGGTTTTTTTATTAAGGTAGCAGAAGGACATTTGGCCTCCACTCAAGTACTCCCTCGATATAAGAATACTTTCTTCTATTAAATTGGCATTCTATGATG